ACTATGATACTGATTCTTCTGTATAAAATTGTTGAAGTAGATCCAAGAGAGCATGGAATGTGTCTGCATTGGAAAAGCTGATCAGACATTTTCCTTGAGTAATGCTGTTGAGGAGCTGTTGCTCATAGGTGACTAAAATGACTTGTAAAAGGGTAAAATGAAATGCAGAAGACTAAAGTGGAAGCCATTCCCACTGCTCTTGTTTCAATATACTCGTGCTCTAGTTGTGCATCAGCTGGAACAGTTTGTTTTTCCTGTTTCTTGCATTGGACTTTCACATCTCTGGGAGAGAATTTATACTCTGTGTGAGAAGACAGAAGAATTCACCTTAAAAAATAACAAATCACACCCACATTTGTGCTGTTTTCACCTGCTTAAGGGATTGAGGGGGGGAGGAAATTCCCAGCCAGTTACATCCCCTGTTCACTGAAAAATCCATAAAGCAATATTGCATCTCAGCTCTTTCCTGACTCTTGCAATCTCTCCTAGCTGCTCCCTAGAAGTGCTGTTAGTGCAAAAATAACCAAAGCAGCCTTAAGACTTACAGTAGCTTGTAGCATTGACATAACCTACAAGCTTGGATGAGTTGTATTTTATTAATATGTTGAGCTGGAGGCAGAGTCAAGTCTCCTCTCAGATGTTGTTGATCAGTGTGAAGTGCCGCTTTTCAACCAGGAGCTGTTCTGGAATAGTTTGTGTCTCACTGAAAGCGGTTTCCTTGCCTACATAGACAAATATAAAATAAAAATGTTACCAGTGACGTTACTAGGCTTGAAGGGCACTGAGAGAAATCTTTCCTATTTACTTCTCCGAGTTACTGAACTTTCTTGAAACAAGGGCCTGGGGGCAGAAGTTGTGGAATTGGCTGAATATTTAGAATTATTCTTGTATATTTTTGAGAGCAATATATATTTTTTTTCCATTTCATTCCATCAATTCTTCTTGATGTTAAACTAAAATTAGAGTTCTCTGTGTGACCGCATATTTCCAATCCAAAATAAGAAAGGCCATGTATATACGTTCTGGAAAATCATAATTTATATGATGACCCTCCTGCATTTTTCCCATGATGCCTGCAAGTAAGTTCCTGAGAGACGGTGCTTGTCTAAACTATGGAGGAACTTCTTATTTCAACAAAAATTTTGTAGGTACAAACATTTTTTTAATACACTATTATTATTTTATTAAAGAGTAATTAAGCTGCAAAATACCTATTAGGAGTTTAAGATTAATAGACTGTAACTCCTACCTTATGGAGCTGTTTCAGTTACACTGCAGAGCAACCACAGCCATACAGTTATGATTAAATGGGATTCAAGTGTTTAAAGACCTAAACAAGTTTGATCCAATTTTTACTTGCTCAGGTTTCCCTGCCTTCCCATATTGTTGTAACAATTCTGCATTGCTCACATTTTCCTAGTACTCATTGTTCGTTTAGCTTAATTTCCAAAGTAAACAGGATTTTTGTTACATTTTTAGACAATTCATTACGTACTCAAAATGCCATCATTCAGGAAGAATACACTACATTTTTTCACATGAGAGAGAACGGATATTTTACATTACGTGAGAATCTAAGTATTCAGTTGACAAAGAAATTAAAGCCAGTGAATTAAAAATTATAGTGTCTTATTCCTAAGTATGTTTAATGCAAGACCAATGCACCAATAAAGTCTCTGCCTGAAATTGCAGCGGGGTAGAAGGTACAAGCTAAAGCTTAGAACCCCAAAATACAGGTTAGTAATGATGCAAAGCACTGTGAGATGTCTTTGCCACAGAACGAAGTAGTTACTTCACCTGAAGTCCTGGGGGCTTCTGTGTTAGGTTCCTTCCTTCTGTCCTTCCTGGGACCTTTCTTTACTGGGCTGTAAAGTTTTATTTAAAAAGGAAAAGAAAACATCAAACATGAGATCCTATTAGGTAACAGTACACCGATAAGTATAGTCATTTAGCTGCGCTGCAACTGTAGATTTCAGGCTATAGTTATATTTTATCTTGGTTTTCAGGATCGGTGCATGTTAGAGCTTGGCCACACTTGCAACTTGGAGCGTGTTTTGCCAACCAGGTATTGAAATGCTGTCTCCTGTTGCCAGCAGCTTTCAAACCACCTGAAATTCAGTGCAGGGTTAGGTCTAAGAGTCCTGTTTTGCCCTGTACATTCACTGACACAGTGAATAGGGAAAAATTTTCCACTGTGGATCTTTACAGCAAGGCTGGGCAAATCCAGCCAGTGTGGCTAGTGTTTAACTAGCTGCTCAGTGAACTTGTATTTGCATATATGAGACAGGAAACCTGAGGGCAGGTTTTAAAGCGGAGGAAATGGACCTTCTCTTACAGCAACTAGTGACAGTGCTACCTGGGTGACCGGTTATCTGTATAAACATTCCTGTCATCAACAGTAGCCTAAAAAAGAAAGGGATTACCCTACTATAATGCATATCTTTAGAATGCTTTTTATATTTAAGTATACTTAATGGCACAGGTATTCAGGAGTGTACTGTAACATCTACCTTTTTTTTTTTTTTGCTGTCTGTGGTAACTGCTGATTTCAAATCAGGACTAGAAGTGTCATCCTTCTTGACAGTATGAATGTGATCCAAAAATTCCATATAGTAATAGTACTTGATAAAAGCAGTGACTGGATCAGACTAAAGTATTCAATATAGTGATGTTATAAGAGCAAGAATCTGCTTTTTATGTGTCACTCTAAGGTACTTGTTCTTCAGGATCTCTACAGGACTAATTCATTTTGTCGAAGTACACAGTCTGTAGAAAGAGTCTGGTTTGAAAACTTCACTTACAGCTTTTGTCTGTCAGAGCAATACTTAGGAGTTTGTGTGTTAACTAAAAGCTGTTCTTCCTAAATTAAGCGTTCAATGATTGTCTAGCACTGAATGTTTTTTGTCGTGTTTTTCTTGCATTTGACATGATGGTTACGCGAAGACCTGATTTTCTTATGTGTGATTAATTGTTAGAGAAGAGTCAGTGTTCAGAGGTGGAGCTTTCTCTAGATGGTGGTCATTTTAGACGTGCTTTCAGAGCACTAGGTTTCTACAATTTACTGACTTTTCTAGCCTGAGACCTAAGTTCTTTTAGATAACTGTCACCTGCTCTTGCATGCATGTCACGGAATGATTCCCTAAAAGCTTTGTATTGATATAAATTGTCTGGGTTATCCCACTCCCTCAAAGCATATTGAGTCCTGCTGGTGTACTGAATAATGGTTTAGCGGCTGGGTGGAAGACTTGTTCCTCATCTTCTGTCCTTGGTCACAAGACAAGGATGTTCCTAGTTGCCGCAGGGAGAAGCGTGTACCTTCTCCTCCCCTGTGCTCGTTTAAAAAACAATGGGTCATTTTTATGTCTGTAAGTTCTGAGGAGCGCCGCTGTAGCTTCTGACATTTGGTAGTGACTCCGAAGGCGGCTGCTCGGCTCCCGTGCGCAGAGCCAGGGACTCGGCCAGCCCATTCTCACCTCGCGCTTCCCTGCGCCTAAGCTGGGTGTTTGCGACGGACCCTCCCTTCACCAGCGCTGATCCAGGCTTCCAGCTGCAGCTGGGTGCCCACCCGGGCGACCCGCTGGATACCCGCGTCTGGCAGGAGACCCGGGAGGGCAGAAAGGTCGAAGCTCTGTGCTGTAACGGAGGACGTGCCGGCAAGCAGAGCTCTTCAGACGTTCGGCTCTGTGTATGCGCTGCGTGACGCAAAGTAAGGATGGCACAAAACTGAGATCTCTTGAATGTGTTTACCAAAAATCAGATTGTTTCGCAGTGGGCGGCGTTCCAGCCAAGTATTAGCATGATTTCTTTGGAAGGCCTTTGATTAAAGGCTTGATTTCTCTTAAACAACCGCTGATGGCTGCTATTATAGCAACAGTGCAAAGGACTCCCAAGTACTTTTTTTTAAAGCAGAAGAACGTTCTGAAGATTGTATATGGACACGTGCGCAGCTGGCTTTGTGGATGAGTGCGAGACTAGGTTAGAGAAAATAGAGTTTTCTGGGTTCCAGCTGATGAATAACTCCAGTTTTTTCAACGTGGTTCCAGCAGAACTTCATCGTGGCACCGTAATCTTTTCCTTACAGGTAACCCCCGTCACTCACATCACAGACAGCACTATGATGCTTTGGGAGGGAGAGGCTTGTCTCAGTGCTGCACAAATTGGTTGATTTTTTTTTTTATTTTCCCCCTCCCCCTCTCATATTTGCTGCTTATTTGGGTCATTTCTCAAAGAAATACTCAGTACAAAATATAAAAGATAGAAATTACCGTTGTGCAGTATATGTGAAAACAGACAAACTTACAGGAAGGACTTTGCAACTGGTTTAAAATACTCAGTTTTTCTATTTTAAAGTGTTTGTCTGTGTAAGTTCTAAGTGGGGAAGCATTGTTTTTGAAAATTTAGTCTTGTTTCATGATAACACAGTAAAAAAAAAATGTAGTTTCATCTTGTAATATCTAAGACTTTGATGCATTTTCTCTGATCAGTTGAACAAAGTCCCTAAGTGTTCTAGCCAGATTTTTCCTCAAAAAAGTAAGTACGTTTTGTGTTTATAAGAGATACCAAAAGTGATGCTGCTTGAAATGTTCAAATGGCCTAAAAATGTAAATCATATTTACATGAACAACTTGAAATTTAGGAATGGTGTAGCCAGCATGAGATTTCCCTCCCCTGCTGTGGTGAGACAACAGGGAAGAGGGAGAACAGTTCAGTCTTCACACCCCTTTAATCCTCTGCTGAAAGTGAGATCATGACTCTTTTCTGCTGGGAAATAGGCTGAGACCACAAGCTCATTCCATTTCGCATAAATCACCAAATTATTGTATAGTAACAACTTTTTTTGTCTCTCTCGTGGGAATTTGCTTTCAGGCAATGTCTTAGCACTGCGAAGTATCATATCCCCTTACTAGTATTTTATTTTCCCCTTAATTTGATGCAAATTTAATGTAGAAAAGTGTAGTCAGCAGCAAACACGCTTTCTTTTCTTTTTCAACTTCCTGTAGGAGTTCGTCATGTTTTCTGCAGAGTTGGGAGAAAAATGTGAAGCAATAAGTGAGAAATTGGTGCATCTGGAAGATCAGCTGCAGACTTCCGCCTGCAGAGTTGAAGAAGGAGTTATTCATATCCTTTTTGGTATAGCTGTAGATACGTATCAATCTGTGTAAGTGTGTATGTGAAATACTTGCCTTTCAGATTTACATGGAGTACTAGTTCTTAATGTAGATTAAATACATTATTGCTGAAGCAGGTATTTTTGCTGTAGTGTTTTCCTACAGTGCATTTTCACTGCAGTCTGATCCAGCTTTAATTGATTTAAACAGAAGTTAGTTCTTTGTAAGTTGAGATTAGGCACTGAAAAGCCTTTATTCTTCTGTTAAAATCCTTTTGTTGGAAATGCTCATATAAGTAAGTACCTAGTGCACCAAAAGCTGCATGGATACAAGCATCCATGCACCTGCATTTCCCAACACGATTTAGCTGAATTAAATGCTACATCATTGATTTGGACTGTGTGTATTGTCACATGTAGTTTGGCTCTTTTTCCTTTTTAAAAAAATGGGCAGCAGATGCATCATGTGGCATCCTATGCAATTTAATTTGCCTCTGACACTCCAGTGCAAGTAACTAGATGAGATGTTGTCTTATAAAGCACCTTTATCTCTTTCTGTTCTTCATCTGCCATTCAGTACCTGACTGAAAATTGCTTAACCTTTTTGAGGTATTTGTTGGGCCTACATCTGTGAACATTTTTCAAAATTTAAGGGCACAGAGTATTGTTTCATTTGTAACATTCATAGAAAAACTTACCACAAAAGAGGCTTTGTTCTGAGAAAGGGGAAAGAGAATAAGAACCAATGAGGCTGAGGAAGGTGAGAATAATTTGCTGGTTAGGCTTTAGTGGAGAAGAGGTGGCAGGCAAGGGCATAATGAAGAAAGATGAATACATTCAGGTTGGAGAGATCCGCAGAGGAGCCCTTACAGACACCGGAAGGTGAGCTGGGATGATGATGGTGCTAGGAAGGATTCAGTTCCTCCTAAGCTGAGGCAGGTGGTCCTGCAGGAGAGAGTTTAGAGAACGAATCATAGAGTGTGTGGAAATACTACTGTGTTTTAGGTAATAGGGCATCTGTTGCTAACTCATTGCAAAATCCCTATTCTAGCAACTTGGTTTCTTTAAAGGTATCAGAATGATAAACTTTAAGTGGGGGTGGGGGGGAAGGTGCTGGGGGACATTGCATCAGAGGGGAGAAATCCAGTCACTAATTTGTTACTACTTCAAATCTTTCTTTTCTAAACGTTTCAGTGTACAGCAAGATCATTTTCTTGTACTTACCACAGGCAAGTTTGCAATATTCTTTTAATTACATTTATAGCACATGTGCTCAGTTGCAGTTGTTTTTTCCCTGATGCTGTTTGTGAGGATTCTTTTCAGAGCTATGTGGATGTGTGTCTCGTGTGTGTGTGTGCGCAGAGCATCTACTTTCTTCCTCCCTTGTGTATATTTGCTCTCAAATGAGCTTTTCTCATTGACCCTAATAGAACAACACTGAGGGTTGGACTTCTTTGCAGTGGACTTAAGTTCATATTCAAACCCAACAGGTCTGATCATAGTTGCAGTTTACTAGGTAAGGTGAAATAAGCTGAAAAACTGCTTTTTTGATTTGTGAAGAAAATACACTACAAGTATGTAAAATAGTACTTCTATTTTCTGTGGACCGTGCGTATTTCTTTGTAGCTGTTGAAACTGCAAGAGTTTGTTGGAAAAAAAAAAAAATCTAATCATTGAAAGTTTGAGAAGAGTTGTAGATTAGTCTCGTTCTAAATCACAGTTGTCTGATGCAGATCTGATTTCCTCTATCAGTGAAATTCAGCTCACGTTATCCAAATACAGAAATGTACACTGTGTGAGATCCTGGTCCTTCTAGCACGATGATCAGCCACAAAATAAGAAACCATGTTTAAAACATAGGGACATACAGAGAAGCAGTTCAGCAATTCAGCTACCCCTCATTAACATTCAGTTGGTATATCGGAGGTAGTCCAGATCAATGTGCATAAAATGTTACCATCTGGTACATGTAATTGCTGTGCTATACTTCAAAAAGGAATGAGGAAAATAGCTAGCACAGTGCTACAGACCTGTAGATTGTGGGGGGTTTTGTTTTGTTTTGGGGGGTGTGTGTGTTTGGTTTTGTTTTTTTTTAATAAAAACTGATTAGTGCCTATAATATAAACTTTCACTCATTGGTAACTTGCTAGTTCCTTGCAGGAACTAGCACTGATATTGGTGCCAATAATTAGCTTCAGTTGAAGAATTTATGATTAACAGATGGACCTATTGTCTATGCAGTAGTTTATTTTGTTTTAAATAAAACAAATTCTTATCCCAAATATTGAACAATTATGCAGTCTTCATTGAAAATCTATCGAACTCAGAGAGCAGGGGCTTAAAAATCTAGAAGTGTAATGAAAGCAGGATAAATCTTTCAAACTCCTGTTCTCTGGTTATTTTCATCTCTCTCCTCATCCCCCAAAAAACTGGCTTCCATGTGAATGTTACAAACTGTATTAGGTGAAAAAGCTGACTGGGAGCTGCACAGATGTAAATTAGTACTGTTGTCTGATTATTAAAAGACTTTTAAAGACTCCATTGAGAAAAATTAATTCCTGATGCTCTCAAGCCATTTGCCAATGTTTAGTGTGTGTCATAGCTTTGATTAATAATTAAGTTTGCATTAGAAGAAAAATCCCAGATGTCATTGTTTTTCATTCGACATTTTGATGGTACAGAACACTTAAATCAACTGTGCTGCTCGTTGTAATTGCCAGCATGACCTGAACAAAGGAGAAATCCAGTGATATTTCTTGGTTCTGAGTATATGCACAGACCCACTTCGGAGTCGCATTTATTATTGAAGCTTTTCACAGCAAATATGAAACTTTACTTTTGTATTAAAAAAATCAAACAGTAGCGGGGGTGGGGCAGAGGTCCTCTATAGCACTGTGACGTATTTGCAAAATTCTGTGTAGTATAACCAAATAAACCCACAAAACATTCAATTATGGTTAATCATTGGCAAATGTATGAGAAGAGTCCACATCATTAACTGGAAAAACCAAAGGACGAGAGGTGACTCATTCTGGTGTCTACAGAGCTGATGAGAGGTGTTGCTTTCCTGACAGTAAAGGCTTGGAATTCCCAGCAAAATTAAATGGACCCGATATTGCAATTTCACAGTCATTTTCGTTCTTAATTAGCAGTTACATTTTGATAGACATCTTGAATGCCTGTAATGGTTCCTCCTGGTGAAAATGCTTTTGTTGGAAGAAAACCTGGCTGGGCTATTATTATAAAAGCAATCTCCATTCCTCGCCCTAAAATGGCATTTTAAACAGTTTTTTTGAAAACAGAATTTTCTGCCTAAACGTTTATTAGGCACTGGAGGTCACTTTGCTAACCCTTCACCTTTATCATACAGCAGGCTGTCATACAGGTCTTGCTTTACACCAGTGCGGGTTTTTGACAGAATCAGGAGTGCAGAATTTAGCCCCAACTGTGCCTCACTGAGAAATCTCACCCTGGCTGTACCTGTAATAAATTTTGGGATCCCACAAGAATGAGAGGTGGCAATGGTGCCCTCTGATTTTATTTTAGATGACAGGAGAGTGACCCTTCCCAGTGTGCATCTCATTGAGAGAAAGTGGTTCCGGTTGTACTGTCTGTGCCAACATGGAGGTAGGTCAGTGTATTTCCACCCGTGTGCTGCAGCTTTTTTGCCTTCCATTTTCTGCTGGAACAAGTAATTTGGAGACAGCTGATATCCAGGTCACTGGTGTGATCTATTTTTCAAAATGTTGCAGTCATTCTGTTGGTTTGGTTTTCTTTTTTGTAGTTTTGGGGGAGAGTATTTTGTTTTTTACGTGGGAGGGGTATTATGTTAGTTTGTAGAAATGCATTCATGGATGTGAAGGAGGGAGACAGTAATGGAGGGGGGAAATGAGAAATTTCTAATCTGGTTCCGGTACCACAAGCATTCTTCTGTTTTGTAAGGAGCCGTAAGTGATGGACTTCCAAAGGCCATTTTGCTCTCTTGCTGTGAGACCACACAGGCCTCATATAGGAGCAGTAGGGACTTGCTCGGTGTCTTTTCTTCACTCCCGAGTGCACTTCTGAAAGGCCAAAACCCAGGTTGTTCCAAATAAACATTGAATTGTCTTGCCTCTTTGCTTGTCATTTGGCACATAGCACGCACAAGCGCAGAATCATTTAGTTGGAAGTTGACCTCTTGAGATCATCTGGTCCAATCCTCTGCTCAAGCAGGGTGACCTAGAGCAGGTTGTCCAGGATCATGTCCAGTCATGTTTTGAGTCTCCAAGGATGGAGACTCCACAGCCTCTCCATGCAACATGTTCCAGTGTTTGACCACCCTCACAGTTTTTTTAAAAAAAAAAAAAGTTTTCTTGTATTCAGAATCAATTTCCTATTTTGGAATTTTTACCGGTTGCTTCTTGTTCTGTCAGTGGACATTAGTGAGAAGAGTCTATCTCCCTCTTCTTCACTCCTACCCTTCAGCTATTTACACACATTGGTAAGATCCCCCCCTGAGCTACCTTTTCTCCCGGTTGAACAGTCCCAGGTCTCTCAGCATCTCCTCATCTGTTGGATGCTCCAGTCCATAAAACCAGCCCTGTACTGGACTCACTCTGGTAAGTCCGTATCTTTCTTGTACTGTGGAGCCCAGCATTGGACCCTGCGTTCCAGATGGGACCTCACTAGTGCTGAGTGGAGCAGAAGGATCAGCTCCCTTCACCTGCTGGCAATGGTTTTCTTAATCCAGCCCAGGAGGCTGTTGGACACCTTTGCCACAAGATGCGTTGCTGGCTCATGTTCAGCTTGCTGTCCACCGTGACCTCAAGGTCTTTTTCTGCAGAGCTACTTCCCGTCTGGCTGTCCCACCACATGTGTACTGGTGCCTGGGGTTAGGAGAGATGTGCAGTTATGCAGTGGGACATCTAGCTGAGCTGCTGTCTCCAGCCACTGTTGTAGTGTTCAGTTGTTAGAAAAAGCAGAATAGTTAACAAGATAAAAAAAAAAAAAAAAAAGAAAAAAATTTCCCTCTTTCTGATTATTTCTATTCTTCAAGACTTCATTTCCTCTGCAGATGTCCAAAATTGCTGTTATTCTCCAAAAGCCCATAGGCCCTTACTTCAGCTCTGTGGTAGTCCTTGACTGTCCTTCCAAGGCCTTTTGTCTTACGATGTATTCTTAGTTTCTAACCTTTCCTGTAGGAAGGCAACTGGTTTGTAACATCTACCTTTTGTCTCTTTACCCTAACCATGTGCTGAGAGAACAGAAGATACATCAATGAGCCCATTTTTTTTTTTCCAAAAATTAAGTCAGTCTACAGCAATTAGATCTGCTTTTTATCTCCTTGTAAATCATGGACTCTGTCATGATGCTCAAGTTTTTTAAAGAGAGAAAGTCAAATAAGTGAAAATCTTCAACCAGGACAAAGTTAGAACTGCAGCGTTGCTACAGAATATGGGTTGTGTTTGTGTGACGCTGTTCCCAAGTACTTCAATATACTGCTTATGACACGTTGGAGAGATTTTGCCAGTTTTTCCACAGGAAGACAGCAGGACCAGAAAACATTCCTAGTTAAAACTTGTTTTGGCTCCTGCCTTTGATACTGGCTCAATATTTGCAGCACTGGATAGAGAATTTAAATATGAAGGACACATTTGCCTGTGGACCCATGCAAAACGAAGTGTTTTGCATTTTTGAAATGGGTGAAGCTGTTTATCCAGACATAACCTCTGTATGTGTGTAGAGATTCCATGCTCAGCCTTATACCACATATTTTGCCTAGCCATAAAGGCTTGTTTGACAGTTACTGGTCTACAGCTGGTTGAGGTATTATTTATGAGGTTATTGAAACTTGCTGTAGGTAGACTATGCAGTCATCTTTCTTGTTGCTCTATCTTTATGTTGGTTAAGAGTCCTTTCCCTTTCTCCTTTATTTTCCTCCATCCTTCAAGATTTCTGATCCGCTAGCAGTAAAACATTTCAATTTTGCTTTTTCTCTCTACCTGAAAAGAATTTTGTAATCGCTTGGGATATTACAAATAACAGCATGTAGTCAGAAGCTGTGCATCAGAAGTAATTAAATTTCAGAGGCTTCATGGTGTTCATAAACTGAAGAATTTCTCTTTTGCTGGTTAGGTATTCAGCAGAGCATCATGATTAAATTGCAGAGTGGTGGACAGTCCAGGACTGTTTATAAGAGGATCATAATATTTTTTTCTTCAGAGAAGCTGCAAAGCATAATTAATTTGTCCTCATACAGTGCTTTGAGATACTAGGATAGGATTTTTTTTGTGTGTGTACCTCTATTACTTGTAATCAGAGACAGAATCCTTTTAGATTAATAGAGCTGTCCAGACATTAGACGTATGCCTTGAATATTCCTGGTGAATGCTTTAAAAGTAAAACATCATAGTGAATGTATGTAAATACACAAAGATGAAATTTTGAGGAACTGATAACAGAATGAAAAGCAGCCAAAAAAAGCATAACTGTGACTGCCTGAAATAGCAGTGATTTGTATAGCTTTCCCATGGTCCTCTCTAGTCGCAATTTTTCAAAAGTAGCAGCTCCCATTTTACAGTCACATAACCTGAGGGTGTCCTTTTTCTTGACATTGCATTGACGTCGGGGTCAAGTAAAACAACGTCTCATAATGGATGAGCTCTGTAAAGGATAAAGCGTGTCTTTGTGCGTTATCCTTCCTATGCGTTGTCTTTTTGAAATTGAGTTGTTTCAGCGTCAGCCTGTTTCATTTCCCTTGAAGTGAGTTTCTGGGTCTCTCGGAGATCATCTGACAGCTTACTGCTCGAGATGAACTTACTTCTCTCTCCCTTGACCTGCTTGGGTTAGCCTTTTGGGGTCCTTGCCCTCTAGCCATGCGTATACAGGAGGCCTCAGTGTGGATGGGGCTGGGCCCTAGAACTTGGTTTTTGGTTTAGACCTTCAGCAGGCTCAGACTTGGCTCACGCTTGCTTTGGTCTCTGTGTAGTGTAAGGTGTGGAAGGCAAGATAAGGTTGGTTGTCTCACTGAGCTACACCCAGTTCTTGACTTGATTCAACAGTGGATAGTCTCACTGACATAAGATTATCAGCAGAAAGGCTGATAGTGCAAACTGTGCTTATTCCCAGGAGAGACTAAGTCACCAGGACAAAAAGCTCTACTGCCTAGGAAGCCCAACCACTTAAAGACTTGTGCGTGTCTCAGCAGTTGCCACTACCTCTGTGCATGTCCCACCTTCATCTGCCAGCAGTGCACCCCTCACCACTTTCTTGCTACCCCTCGACACCTTCCCTCTGTTATTTTGGAGCTGAGGCAAGAGGGAAGGTCTTTTAAGAGAAAGAGCCATTAGCCATCATTTTCTTCCTGAGTGCCTTGCAGGTAACCTGAACTGGACAATGGCAAATAAAATATGGAAAACTCTCCTTTCTTGACCAAAGGAAGTAATTCAGTAAAAATATCAAATGCTTTTCAGGTGGCCTTTTTACTTTTAATGAACAACAGTGTGACCTTGCTAATCTCTTTGCTTTTCACCTTGCTCAGAGCATTCACTGCTTTATATTTGTGTTTTCTGTGCTATAATTAGCTGATTTATCAGTATAAGATTAAAGCCTTCTGGAGGTAAGTAAGTAGAGCAGTAACTCTTTCACTGCTCTAAGCTACTTTCCCACCCCACCTTGCCTAGCACTCGTTTTTGTACTTGCTAATGCCACACAGGCTGTGGGCTTATGTCTCAGACTGTTCCCGCTGCCCTGTTGCCTTCATCCGAGGTCTGATCCCCCCAGGTCCATGTATCTGGCTTAGAAATCCACCCTCCATCCAGGAGGGAACTCGCAGCTATGGAGTCAGCCTCCATGGAGCAATTTCTTCATCTCCTTCCTTCCTGTGAAAACAGTATCCCCCATCCCCTCCCTTTTTTAAAGTGCTAAATAATGCTACTTGAGAACTTCAGTTTGCATGGATTTTTTTTCTTGAAAGCAAGTGTGAGAAATGTATTAATATTTAATCCAGACAATTTGGAAGAACTTGAAGCTACAGTTAGATAGCCATGGCCATCTGTTGTGAGCAGCCGAACAAGAATTTATTTAATAACTTGGAAAGAGAATGGGGACTGCCAATCACCTATAGATTTATTCCTTAATAAAGCTTGCACAGTCTCTGCAGAGGGAGATCCAGGTGGTGAAGGAGACGCTCCAGACCGTGCTGGTGCAACTTCAGCCAGGCAGGGAGGCAGGAGGAGAAAAGGCTGGAGACATCCTCTGTGACAGCTGGTGTCCAGGACAACAAGACTCAAAGGAATAACGAGCAGAAAGAGCTGGTAGGATGACATTAATTCACAAAGGGCTGCTTTTAGTAACTGAATACTGTCTTACCAAGCCTCAGGGATCTCTCCTCTCCCTGCATAACTAATAACTAAATCAATTATGGAGAAACAGAGCCTGGAGGTCTATCATCAGAAGTATTCTGCACAGCCTCGCCTGTTCTGGCACAGATTGGGAAACAGCTTTCAGAGCAGAGCAGGCCCTGTAAATGTGTAGATTACAAATTGATACATTTCAAGTGGGGCTGCAAAGTTGCCTTTAATGTCAGTGAAATGTTCTCCTTGAAGACTCGCAAACAGTATCTGTCTTCCTTACTCATGTATGGTCGGGTTTTTTTTCCCCTGATTTAAAAAAATGTAGCCTTAAAGCTGGACCATCTAGTATTTCTTGAAAAATAGCTGTAAGAATAACAACTTTTTTTTTTCCCCCCTTTGGCTTTAACAGCTTTCTTACACTGAATGTATTTTCACATTCCTGCCAATAATTAAATCAATAGGATGAAATTCCAGCTAAGTTCTTTCAACTGAGATTTGGACCTCATTTACTCAGTGGTGCGGAGTACAGTGGAGGTAACTAACAGCAGCCCCTATAGCAGTAGTCTAACTCTTTTCATTTAGGTATTAATAGAAACTTGCTTTAGTATTACAGGGGTTGTAAAGCACAAAAAAAAAATTATTGTTCGTGATTTGTGTTCCTTGTATTTAAATATTGTATGAACAAGAAGTCATTTAAGTATCCTTGTAAAGTTTATTACTACTTTACCATTATATTACTTTGATCTTCCTTATAAACTTGAAGAAATGCAGATTTTTTTGCAATTTAGACACATATGTATTATACACACACATACTTAGACATGTATTTTTATAGGAAATAAAAGCAATGTTCAAGTGAAGCCAACTAATACTAATGGCCTGTATTTAGATTGTGTACTCTTACTTGGATACCAGATTCTTACTTGGATACCAGAATATCTGATATCACAAAAAAATTTGCTTCTGCCAATATTGCAGAGGGAGAATTTTTTAAAAATCCAATTTTTTATAAGCCAGTAAATGAAGCAAATGTCTTCTAACTCAGTAATATACTTTTTAATACTATTTTTCTGACATTTTGAGTGACTTTGTTTCTGCTATTTCAATTACTCATTTTATAGCCACATTGTGAAGGCTTTCACAAATTTTGAAGGTCACTGGACTACTAGCCCACTATGATTGTGTTCATTTTTTTTCGTGTATTTTAATAATAGTTGACACTTCTACCTCAAGGGAGGGAGGGGAAAAAGAGAGTGCCAAGCAGCTGAAACATGCAACAGGATGATAATTGCATGCAGGAGTATATGGTTGTCAGACCAAGGGAGCAGAGCTCAGGTGGTTCCTGTAGTCATCAGGTCCTCAGGGTGGAATTACAGCCCTACAGTTCAGAAAGAACATGGTTGACTTTTCTTATTGTGTGACATATGGGTCAGCATCCATGTTGCAGTAAAGACTCTTGGATCTTTACCTTGCATGGACTCTGCTACTCAGTTCCCAGTCTCAGAGATCCCTTGCTGTTCTGCTGCTGCTCCAACAAATTTGTTTCTCCAGGCTTTGCTGAACAGTCCCTGTTCAATACCTACCTCCTCAGAGTAGAGTTGGTGCTTTCTGAAACTCCTCTGGACAGACGAGCAAGGCATTGGGTCCCAGCTCCACGTAGCCCATGCATGGGACCAGCTCCTGGGGGGCAGCCTGGCTGTCAGTCAGGAAGCGCTCGTGGAAACCCATGTGTGTGGAGGTAAACAGGAAGGAAAGCACACTGACATGATCCATCTCTCACAGCCGTGTCCTTAAGACCAGCAGAAGCTGCTTGTGGATTGACACCACAGTGGTCTGCTACCGAGTTTCCACCAACGAGCATTGATGTAGGATGATGACAGCCCAAAGACGACAGCCAGTACACTAAGGTTGCATGACTCCCCTCTTCCACACACTGAGGGGTGTGTGGAGTTTTGGCCTTTGAAGAGCTAGTGCCTGTAATAAGTTGGTGGGCACTACACATGCCTTAGAGCCAGGGTCAGCCACAGCATGAAGGCTTCCTCCTTGCAGCAGCAAGGGCTTAACACCATGATAGTAACCAGCCATCCCAAGGGCAGGAGAACAGCACGCCTCATTCTCACTAGCAAGATTTAAGACAGTCACATTCAATTAAAAAGCCTGTATGGCTTTTGCGTTTCACAGCTCCAGAGCACTGCTGCATTTTAATAAAAAAAAGTCAACTTACACAACCACTCTAATAAAGACACTGAACTCCTGAGGAAAGGAGGAAACTGAATCAGTCATCATTCATGTCATGTTTGTATCTGTTAACATTTATTTTATACATAATGTGGACTACTACTATAATTTATTATTCCATTAACTTCACTGTTTGTTGTGGGAAGTTAGAGCCAGTAATCATTCCTTTTCTCAGACATGCTGAATAATAAGCATACTAAAAAATAAAAGGGTATACTATGCAATGTATCAGCTGCCTTTTATCTATGGATAGAAAACTTTCAAATAAAGAGAAGTATGTTTTTGACTAGCCCAATGTCTGTTTGCATTCTGTGCAGTGTACAAGACTTCACAAGTGTCATCCTGAGGCGAGGGGGTGGATGGAGAGGGGAGGAGAGGAAAGGAGAGGCCATGTGTGTGACTATTACTGTACTGTTGACAGCAGTGATTGCTCTGCTCAGGAAATTCTGATGCCCTCTGGAAAGAGTCTAAAGATGCACTCAAGACTAGAGTCTTGAATAATAATAATAATAGCAAAATTAGCTATTTTCAGTGTGAAAAGGAGAGAAGTATCATGCAGTGAGCTATACATGCAGGTAAAACCTGCACTCGTGTCCTGGCTTGACTCGGCCAGTCTTGCTGTACCACCAAATCCTTCCTCCCTCCGTTCCTCATCCATGGAGAGGGATCAAGGGAATGGAAGTATGACTGTGCACTGGCTACAGCAATATCTGAGGTCAAAGTCATGCTCTCACATACCCTCATTGCTATGATGAGAGGTAGGAGGGTGCCCATGGTGTCCCAAGGACCAGTTTCACACATGGTTGCTAGGACCCTGTCACCTCCAGGTGGACTGGTCTCCCACTACCTTACAAACATAAGCCTTACCAGAAATAAGCCCCTTTCCTGCCTGGGATGTATGCTCTCCCTAAGAGGCCAGCCCTCAAAGGTTTGAGGGCTACATAGAGAGGCAGATAGGCTTTGTGTGCAGAAACCTCTGCCACAGCAGTGGAATCATAGAATCATTTAAGTTGGAAAAGACCTTTAAGATGGAGTCCAACCATAAACCTAGGACTGCCAAGTCCACTCGTAAACCATGTCCCTAAGTGCCACATCTACACATCTTCTAAATACCTCCAGGGATGGTGACTCAACCACTTCCCTGGGCAGCCTGTTCCAGTGCTTGACAACCCTTTTGGTGAAGGAGTTTTTCCCAATATCCAATCTAATCTAAACCTCCCCTGGCACAACTTGAGGCCACTTGCTACCTGGGAGAAGAGACCAATGCCCACCTCACTACAACCCCCTTTTGAGGTAGCTGTAGGGAGCGATGAGGTTGCCCCTTGGCCTCCTTTTACTGCAGGCTAAACCACCCCAGTTCCCTCAGCCGCTCCTCGTAAGACTCATGCTCTAGCTCCCTCACCACCTTCATTGCTCCTCCAAAGCACATGCAATGCACTGCTTGGGGAGAGCTGCAAGATGAGGAAGCAGCTCACCTTGAGCAGTCCCTTGCATGTGCTTTGGAGGAGTAGTTGGTTGTGTTTAGTACACACACCCCTTTCTCTCCCTCAGTGTACAAACATGTTCTCAAGGGACTAAAGAAGAAAGCAAGGAGGGAAGAGCACCCCAAAGGGTGTTTAGCTCCAGCCTAGTATTTCATTTCACCATCAATTAGCTAATCCGTTCTTTCTAAAGCATGACAGCTCAGGCTTTTGCTGTTGCTGTCATTACTTGTTCAATCAAGATAAGCACATCTTTTCTAGAGCGCTGGAGAAGGCAGTTCAATAATGGGGCCCAGATAGGCAGTAGTGCTAGAGAGCACTTCAGGGTGAGATTAGAATAATCCTTATGTATCCTCTTAGTTTGCTATCCTATTAAAAATGAGACTGGGACCACGAGATTTTTTTTTAGTCTCGGAGATTAACATGCTGCAAAGAAGCTCTAAAATATTATGCACATGTGGATATTTTCCTGCACTGTTAGGGAAGGTTATACAAGCTTCTGGAGAGATGTTAAAGAAAAAGAAAAAAGGGCTTGTGAATATAAGAGATTCTTGCTGAACCTGAAAAGCAGCCAAGCCAGCAGCCACAGTAAAGCATTTCTCTCAAATTTCTAATGAAGGCTTAAATATGAGGCCTGGGAAAAGAACATCTGGGGTTGAATGAGTAAGGAAATGTCCGAGTTCTTTATGCGCATGGCATTCAGTCAGTGTCTCCTTGTGTTCTTTTGTCTGGAAGAGCAGTGTCTTAGGGAAGGGGTGTTGGGGCATTGTCAAAGACGCACACAAAGTCAATACATCACTAGGCTATTTGTTCTTATAATGACCTGCAAAGTTGAACAAATAGTTTATAATAATAAGCAGACATACAGGAATGCTAAGAGAGAAAGAAAGAGAGAGACTATTAAAATAATCAGAGTCACAGCTAGGAGACACATGATAATTTTCCATTCCTCCAGTGAAATCTAAGAGACCTTTCCACAGTGACAATCCAATTTACAAGGAGAAGAAAGCAACTTCAAATCTATTACTTTTTTTGACTACAAGACTGTGAAACACCAAAGGAAGAACCTCTGTGTTTTCTTGCCAAGTAAGCTCAAGATTTTAAGTGTATCAGTCAGCTCAATCACAAAACCTAGAGCTTTGTGCCCACTCTCAGGCTTCCCGGTATGAGCTGCCCCAGTGCAAGACTCAGGAGCTTGGAGCCAGGCACAGCTCTGCACATAGGAGCTCCTCCAGGACTGTGCTGGGAGTCAGTGTCACAGGGGTTGGGTTAGAGATACCAGGGCCAGCCTGTTCCACTCCTTGGGGGGTGGGAGGGCTGATAAAGACACAGCCATTTTACTATTTCTGCTCTCTTCTAGAAACTGAAAGATTCTCTTTTCCTATTGGTTTTGCTTTGAAGTGTATTTTCAGAGAGTTCCTCGTGCATCTTCCATGACCTGAAATTTAGGAGGACCGGAATTGTTTAATTTCTCCTGGCTCAAATACAGTAAGGTGAAGCAATGAGACCTATTTGTTTTTAGCTATTGTGTGAGGAGTTTGGATCCCAGTTTACTCCTTTACTTTCAGCAACATGAGCTCCTGCAGCAGCAGCTGACTGGTTGACTAGGTTATTTCCCCCACTTAGATGAGCAACTTTGAAGAGCAGGAACATGGTGTTGCCACCTGCACGTGACGCTGACAAGACATTACAAGCACCACCAACTCCTCTGTCCCCACTAAGTCAAACTGGACGTGGTTTCAGGAAAAGGAGTACAAGAACAGTTGGAGATTAGGAAACACCAACTTCCTTACAACAGAAGGCCAACAAAGCCCAGCACAAATAACTTGGCCAACTGAAGACCAAAAGGTGACCCGCTCATCTCCTGTAGTATTTACATGGGGAATGATTTCCAACACCTACCAGCT